TAATAAAAATCTAATAATGAATTTTCTTGATTGAATTCTATATTTATTTTATTTATTTACAAGTTTTTAATTACTAATTTGCTTTAAAATATAAAATAAATATATTTATATTTATATTATATAAATTTTAAATTATTAAAAAAATTATGATAATTTTTTGCGAGCCAGTCCACGAGTTGGTTAGCCCGCTAGAAAATGGGTTGGATTGGATTTTCCAGCCCGTTTTATCTGGTGGGTTGGCCCAACCCAATCCTCAAAAATACCAGCCCACACGGGCTGGCCCGTAATCCTTTTGTCTAATGTTACATGCCTCTCCGTGTCCACAGAGCATCTCATTGTACTCATTTTTCCCTAAGTAATGTTATCGGGCTTTATGCATGTTCACAATGCACTTGTTATTGTTCTAGCTAGTCACTTGATTTTTCAAGCAAATTGTGGTAAAGAATATTAGAAACTCATTCAATAGTCTGATTGCAATTTACTCTTTTGAGGACATGCTCCTCTAACATGTTTGGCACACTCTCACACACAAAGGGTTGGAATGCTTCGACCCCTTCCTTGAAAATTGAGCCAATAATTTCATTGAATCAAAAGCCATTCATATTCTCATTTTCAATTCACATGAAAAATATTTGAACAACTAATTGGGCCTACATGTTTTTGAAACTTTGTACAAGTAGAGGCCTAATAATATGACAATAAAAATAAATAAGCCATAATTAATAATAGAACCATTTCATGTAGAGTCAAAAAAATAAGTTGAGCTCGTCAAGCTAACTTGTTTAAGTCTACATATATAGAGGGTTAGGCATACAATTAGGATTCTAAAATGATAAAGTGGGTGTAAATAGGCTGGCTCATTGAAATCCTAAGTTAAAGGAATTGGCCTGAAGGGTTGAGGCTATCATGTTTAGGTGCACATATTTTTTTTAAACATCAATTTCCATACCAATGAGGCAATGATCCATGAGTAATGAGTCCATGCAGATGTAGCCTAAATTTGTTGAGACTTGAGAAGGAAGGGCAAAAAAAGAAAAAGAAGGTACAACTTTAAATTAAACCTAAGTCCCCCTGCTCTCCTAACGCCTTGCCTCGCCACGACTTGACTTTCACTTGGATTGTTTGAGTTCATCAGTTTCACTGGTTCAGCAACTTCGACCCTTTAATCTGTGTCTCTACTCTGCCCCTGCTCTCCTTGACGTCGACGTCTTCTACTTCTTCAGCCTTCAGCCGTCCGTCACAGTGCACTGAAACTTGAAGGAGGAAATTTGAGACTGTCATCTGCGTCTGTCATAATCACAGTCCCTAGCGTGAGCGTCTTCGACAGTGCTCTGCCCTTACTCGCCACAAAGCTGATGTGACCTCACCGAGTTGGTGCCTTAGCCGACAGTAACGAGTTCGAGTGTGTGTGTTCACTGTTCAGCCCAGTGTTCAATCGAGTTCAAGCCGACCAAGTTCGAGTGTGTGTTCAGCTCAATGTTCAGCAATGAGTTCGAGCTACTCAGTCGTTTTCTTCTTCTTCAGTATTCATCCATTGTGTGGCTTCCTTGTTTACGGTTATTTTGACTTGTGTCGTGTTTGTAACATCTAGTTTATCTGGATGTTGTTTAATTAGTTTGTTTATTGCTATTTATAATTTGTTGTCTGTGATTGTTATTCCATTTGCCATGGTTGTATTGCTGTGAAATAAATGAAATACAATCAGTTTGATAAAAAAATATAAATAAAAAAAAAAGATAAAAGGGTTGGAAGCCCACGAGACCAACCTTAAGCCTATTATGTTGTGTGCCAAGCTTAGCTTTTAATGATCTTAAATGGTAAGTGGGTTTAAAGGGATTAGCCTTTTAAGGCTCAAGCGCGCAAAGGGCCAGCTCAATCCATTTTCTCAATTATATGACATAATACTTTGCCCATTAATAGTAGAACCAATTTTTGTTGGAGAGGGGGGCTTCCTGGACTGTTCTGATTCAATAGAGGTCATATCCTTCATTAATGGCAACTTAGTTTAAACTCATCCACACTCAATAATCATTAAAAGCATCAGAAATTTCATCATGAAAAACTGAGAGGTTATCCTGGAACTCGTTTTTACAAAGAAACAAATTATTGTGCTGATCTCTTTACTTATAAGGCCTCTAGTGACCATTTTGATACTACTTTACTAAATGACACTTCCAATAATTGTAGAAGTATTTTGACTTCTAACATGACCTGATTTTAGTCCTTTTATATAATATTTTTACTGTAGTCTTGTATTTAAAAAAATAAAAACTGAAAATCTGGAATAACAAGTGAACATGTATCAATAAAAACATTTGTGCCAGTATGAACTTTTTTTACTGGATTTTTCAAGACATCTTGGCCGAAAAGAATTTGTTCAAGAAAAAAATTGGTCCAAAATAACATGCTTTCCTTTTCCTGTTTTTTTTTTTAACCTTCAAATGAATGTCGAACTTTAGAAGCTCTCGGTTGTTCTGTTATATCGTTTTATGAAAGCAGTAATGGGGAAGATATAAAGCCAACCATGTTCTTCACGCCACGTTGTCCTGTAGGGTTATATGACAATCTCTTGCAAGTAAATTGGGAACCTGAATTATTGAGTAAAATTGTCATACTTGGGAATAGCTTTGATAGACACAAAGAGAATTGCGATGGGCCAATAGAGCAATGGCTGCCACAATGTTCACTGATGGATTTGTAATTAACACAACTTCTTGTGACTATGGTAAAAGTTCTGAAGATTAATGTTGGGGTGATTATCGTCGAGCTTTATCTAATGCTACAAAATGGCATTTCTTCAATCCTATCCTATTATAGAGACATAACTATAGTTATGCCTTAATGTATTATCATATTTCTATGTCTATGCCTTGTGCTTAGGATTTGTTTTGCTGAATTTATCATCAATTTTTTTTTTAGAATTTTTTGTTTTCACACCCTTGCTATATTTTTAATGCATCATTTGAACTTAAAGGAAATTCCGCACATCCAAGTTTACAATCTAAACAATTATAGTAACATGTCGAGGAAACTAGCTCTATGAGCAAGAATTCCTATGTATTCTTCCTATTTATTGTTACAATGAAGATAATTCGCAAAAATTAGGAAACATTAATTATTGCAAAACATTAAAGATGGGTCTTAAATACACTTGCCAAAGAGGGAATGGATAACCTATGAGTGGAGAGGGGGAAAAGATAGAGATAGAGATAGAGAGAAGAAGCTACGCTTGTATAAGTGTGAAGGTTGATCTAACCAAGAAATTGGCATCAAGATTCATGGTTTGAAAGCATATTGATGTTCACAAGATGGAACCAACTATCAAGATAGTTTTGTTATCTCGTGTCTCATCCTAAAATATGAATAGAATTAAATTTTTATCTTACGTCCTATATTAAAAGTCATTTCATCTCATCCCAAATTGGACTGAGACAAGATCAGGATATCCCAATAAAGTAGACAAAAGCATGAAAAAGAGATCCAAATAATACTATTTGTTAAATTACATAACTTGTTAAGTTCAAAATCAAAACAATAAAAATATATAAATTCAATCATTAAGTCATAGCAAATGTAATTTAAAGTGAAAGAACATAATTACAATAACCATAACTTAAAGTTAAGTACACAATAACCTCAAATGAACTCCATGCTACAAATACTATAAAAATAATAGAATCATCAAGTTACATAACTAAAATGAGCAGATGATCATGTAAAAAAATATAAAATAAAAAAAATAAAGCAGTTTTGGGCTTGGCCCTTTTTTTCAGCAAAATCAATAATGATAGAACCATTTCATGGTAAACTCTTGACCAAGCACTGGAATAACAGGTGAACGCAACAACAAAGCTTTGGCCCAAATGGATATAATATTCTCAGTTTTGGTCGAGAATAACATTTGTATACATACAAACATTTGGGCAAGTATGGAATTTTTTTTTTTTACTTGACATTCCTAGAGGTCTTGGCCAAAAAAATTTCATTCAAGAAAAAAATTGGTCCCAAATAACATGCTTTCATTTTTTTTTTTACCTTCAAATAATATGATTTCCTCTTTTGAATTGCTTGAGCTCCAATATTTCAAGTTTTTTTGGTCAAATTAATTTGGTTGGCAACTGAGCACATCTTTGGAAGGCATGTCACCTACCAAAAATTTAAACGTTGCTACAACTCAGAATTCAGAGCTGTAACTCAACAACTCTAATTAAATAGATCACCATTATGGACAGTAAAATCACACCACATGGTCGCTGATTCAATGAATGAGCATTTTCAGATCAGTATTTTATGGATGCTAAATTAAAAGCATTCAAAATAAATATGAAAATCTCATCTATAATAATTTTGCGAATATCTAAATATTAAAAATATTATGACTTCCCTTCTATTTTACTAAAATTAGAGGGACATTTCTCCTATTTTCAAAGCATACATATCAATCTAATTGTTAACACCTTTTGAAATTTTTTTAATAATTCTAAAATATTTTATTTTTTTACTTATAATCTCTTAAATAATAAAATATAAAATTTAGTCTGGACCATTTCTATAATTTTTGAACTGTTTTCTGTAATTTTTTTAGTTTACCAACAGTTGAAATTAATTTTTCTTAAGATAGTAGCTAAATTGTATTGTTTTTAAAAATTAAAGCAAAATATTATACCAAAAATAAATTTAAAATTCTAAATACTCATGTGACTATAACTTAAAGACGAATTTACTAGCTAACAGGCGCTCGCCAAGGTAATGATTAATGAAGTTATCACCGCATTATGTAATGAGGGCGGGGAAGCAGTAAAAAAGACAAAATTAAATAAGAAATAAAAGAGAATAAATTATATTATTATTTTTAAAAGTTTTTCATTTTAATTTTTTTTCTTATTTTTTTTTTCCCTGCAAACGAAGAAGGCTAGGAAGAAAAAGAAAAGGAACAAAACAAAGGTCAAATGGGCAAGGATTTGATCCATCATTACCACAAGATTGTAGGGCTCTAATCGTGCGATTAACATGAGAGAACTTTATCAATAGATAATTCATAAATATCTCCATAAATACTATTTAAACTAGAACATGTTCTGACTTAGATGAGTCCCGTAAGTTTATGAATAGTACAATGCAATGCATTGATTGAGCGAATTCTTGGCACTCTCTTACAACTAGATCAGTAGCACTAATCTATATCCTGTGCTTTTATTACAGAGGAGTACGTGGTCGGGTTGGGTCACGGATAGATCACTTACCACAGTTGACGAAGTTATAGTTGACGGAGAGGTGACCCTGAGCGTTGCCGTTGCCGTCGGTGTCAAGCTGCCGGAAGACTCCGACATCCAAGTCCAACCCACCGTTGCTGCAGCGATCCACAATCCTGACGGTCTGTTGGGCACCGGTGCGGATGTTGGTGACTCGGAGGCAGCGGCCGCAGGCGGCCTGACCCTGGGGGCCGACGGGGCCACAGAAGGCGGTCCAGCCGTATTTGCGGCGCCAAGGGAGGGACTTGTTGGCGTCCCAGGTGGCACAAAATGCACCGACGGCCATGAGATCCCAGCCGTGTTGCTCTGGATGGTATAGGTTATACGTCGCCTTCACATTGGTGGCGCTCTGTCCCCATGCTATTCCCACTACGCTCACCACGCACACCACCCACAATATGCTACTTGCCCTCACCTTTCCCATCTCTCTCTCTCTCTCTCACTGACTCACTAGATCTTGCTTTGCATATATATAGGCAAAAGGGTGATTCGAAATATAGTGTTTTCTTTCTTTTTATTTTCCTCGTCTAATTCTTACCCTTGATTTAAAATTTAATGGTTGAGTTAAAAAAAATTAATGGTTGAAATTTCATATTATATAAAATTATTATAAAAATAAATGATTGAATGGGATAATAAAATTTTCAATCCTTGCTCACTTTTTGTTTTGATTCTTTACATTTTCTTATATTATCATTGTTAGTCTTTTAAATTTTTAAATATAAATTAATAAATTAATAGAAAAATTACATCTAGATCTCATAAAAGAGAATTTATTATCAAGAAATCCCGTCAAATTCACAAAATACTATTAAATTTTAAATCATGTGCATGTATAATTTGGTAAAGGATATTTGTAATTGAACAACAGGCATTTACAACTTATAAAGAGTATTTGCAATTGGGCGATGGGCATTTATAATTTGTAAAGAAAAAATAACAACTTGCAATACCAAGTTGTAAATGCCCATTGTCCAATTACAAATACTCTTTGTCAAATTGTAAATGCGTAGAATTTAAAATTTTAGAGTATTTTATAAATTTCATAAAACCTCTTGATAATAAATTCTTTTTTGTAGGACTTAGGTATAATTTTTTTTAAAATTAATCTAATATGTAAAGTATATTGATGATTTGATATATAAACATAGTTAAATAAGAACAAATTAAATAATTAAATTTCAAATAAGTTTAATTTTAATTAACCTAATCTCTTACACTGTTTTTTGCCAATATTTTAAAAAATACTTTAGTGTATTTTTTTTCTTGACTAAATAGTTACATTTATTTTCTTTAGTCTACATATTTATTATCAATATTTTACTATGCATGTTAGGATATTTTAATGGTATTATCTCATCTTTATATAATAAGGACTAAATAAATAACATATGTAAATTTTAGGGATCATATCAACAAAAATTAAATTTAAGAAATTAAATTAATAATTTAAGAAAATATGAGAGACTAAAAATTTAGTTATCCCTAAATTCATAACATTAAAGTGTACCTAATGTGTGTTTTATTTTATAAACTATCTTTTCAATTATAGTATTAGTTTCATCAATAAATAACTTCTATTTTTAACTATTAAATACTGACAAAATATTTTTAAACGTTAATATATTAAATTTAATTTTTAAAATAACAATAATTTGTACAAAAAATCATTTGAAATAATAGTGTTAGAGTTAGAAAATTGAAAAAGATATTTTATAAAATTAAAGAATTAAGTTAAAATTTTATACAAGGTTAAAAATCTAAAAATATACTTTAGTGATAAATAAATAGATCAAAACTCTTAAAATTTGAAGAGTAAATATCTTGAAAATAAATAAATGGGAGAATGACAGTTAGTGCAAAAAAGTTGAATTAATGATAGCTAAATACCCGACGAATATTTTTTACTAAATGAATTATAAATATTAATTTAAATAGTTAAAAAATAAAAAATTTCTGTTATAATTTAAGAGTTACATTTGATATTTAAGTACTTGCTTGCAATTGAAATTTCTGAATTTAAAATTATTTGATATTTTAAACTTTTTTAAAAAAAATTAGAGATCTAACTATCATTCTTTCTAAATAAATATCAGCCATAAAATTTTTTAATAAAAAGGTAAGAATGAGATGCAGAAAAGAAAGGATGTACAAAATTTCTTTTTCTTCTCCTATTCTGATTCTCACTACATCCTGTTCAGCATATGTGTGTGGACTGGGAAAACCTCTTATTTTTCCTTTCTCTCATTTTTCTCACTATCACAAAATAATTGAAATTTTGATCCAACAAAATTCTCAAATTATCCTTCCCCCCTCAAAGCCGGACCAAATGCATCACCCTGCAGATTAATTAATTTCTTCTTGAGTAAACTAATGACTTCCTTTCTATTTTTCTTAAATTACAATTACCTATCATTTATTTTTAAAATCTACACCTTAATCCAATTGTTAATATCGTTATGAATATCCAATTAAAGATTATAAAATATTTTATTTTTATTTGTAATTATGTTAAAAAAATTTTAAAAAAATTTACCCTTACAATTTAATTATCTAATCTTTCTCCCAATTTTAAAATTTAAATAGTTACGTTGAAATTTAAATAAAAATTTTAAATTTTGTGTTAAATTAATAAAATTAAAAAATTATAAATTATTTTAAGTAATTTATCATATTAAATCCTACTACATTAAATTTTTTAACTGCATGTTTAAAATTTTATTTTAGCCAATTTATGTATAGAAATTTTAGAAAATGTTACTAAACAAATATGTTTATATAACTAAAAAATAAAGTATAAATAAAAAATTAAAAAATACATGAATTAATTTTTTCATAATTTAAAATGATTTTTAGATAACATTTGTATTTAAAAAATGAATATTTTGGTTCAATATATTTAACTTAACAGTCAAGTAATAGTTGGGTGGACAGAAATGTTCTATTAAAAATAAAGGAAATTCTTGTGTTTTATAACCATTTATACTAAGAAATGTTCCTGAAGGTTTCAAAAATAAAATAAAAAATATCTGTAATTAAGGTAAAATAGAGGGGATGTTAGAATATTTTACTCATTCTTCTTTCACTTTTTTGCTTCACTTTATCTTGGGCTTTCTCGTTTTGAAGCTGCAAAAGATATTAAAATTTAGGTCAATTAAGGTACTAATTTAAGAGTTAGTGATCAAAATTTTAATAAAATTGTAATAAATTAATCATTTTATCAAATCATTCAAGACATGATTTAACGATTGATATGAACCGGTTTATATCCTTCGATATTGACTCGGATTCCACCACCTACGAGTCAAATGGCAAAGTGCAACACAATCCTCACACATCTCCTACTGCTTCTCTCTCTAAGCATGGCTTCTTAGTTCTAGGTGGTGATCATTGCGCCTTGGTGGGATTTCTAGGGATCATTTACATTATTATAAATTTATAATTACCCCACTAATGTTGAACTTTATTACTTTCTGAAAATAGTTACTCCCCCCCCCCCCCCCACCAAACCCAGATGAAGTTATCACCGTATTTTATATAATGAGGGCGGCTGCTTTCTCAAGTAGGGGAGGGGGAAGCACTAAAAAAGACAAAATTAAATAAGAAATAAAAAGGAATATATTATTTTTCAAAGTTTTTTTTAAATTTTTTTCCTTATTTTTCTCCTGCAAACGAAGAACGCTAGGGAGAAAAAGAAAAGGAACAAAACAAAGGTCAAATGAGCAAGGATTTGATCCATCATCACCACAAGACTGTAGGGTTCTAATCATGCACTTAACATTAGTTATAACCACAACACTGTAGTATTTTCTTGTGTTGTCAATAATTTAAAATTTATTTTTTGTTTATTTTTTTATTTTTTTTACTTAATGTGTTTTGTCAATAGCAAATGTATAACTTGTAACTGAAGTGATACCTTGCATTCAATAACCAATGGTAAGTACTTAACAGGTTTTTGCACTTAGTTGATTTTTGAAGGGAATAACAACCCCTAGTGCTTCAGCACTTGTCAGTGGTGAACTACTAGCTTGCCAATATAGTTATAACCACTTGTCAATTGCTAATGGCAAATAGTCAACATGTTTTTACACCTTATTGATTTTTAAAGAGGATAACAACACCTGGTACCTCAGCACATGTCAATGATAAATTACTACCTTGTCACTATAGTTATAACCACTTGTCAATTTTCAACGGTAAGTAATCAATATGTTCTTTTAACTTATTGATTTTTGAAGGGAATAACAGCATGTAGTGCCTCAACACTTATTAATGAAAAATTACTACCTTGTTAATATAGTTATAATTACTTGTAAATTTTCAATGACAAATAGTCAACAAGTTCTTTTAATTGATTGATTTTTGAAGAGAATGACATCACCTAATACCTCAACACTTGTCAATGGTGAATTAATAGCTTATCAATATACTTATAACCACTTGTTAATAAAGTGATAATCACTTGTCAACATTTAATGTTTGCCACATTTACGAACTTATAATCAACATTCATAATAGTATTATCTAAGTTAACTATGTGAAATGGGCTAACTATACAAGAGGACATGATTATCAATAAAATTATATCTTAAAGTTCTATCAAAAATTTTTTTACAAGACACTTCAAATAGTCTATCAAAACCTAACTTCTCTGCCTTTTTCCATAATTTCTCATTTCCATTCACATACTTTTTTACTTCACTAGATTGACTAGGAGAGCAGCGCGTATGAAATGGAACAATATATTTCTTCACTGTTATCTTTGCTTTCTCTTCCATCTTCCTTTACTTGGAAGAAAGAAAAGAAAAGTTTAATTAGATATGCTGAAAAGAGATTTTTGCATACTAGTCATTAATACTAAATTCCAACTCAGAGATTTTTGCACTGGCATTGTTTATTAATATCCATAAGAAAGAAGAAAACACAAGTCACAAAGAAAAATGGTTCACTAGTTATGATGGTTCACTAGTCAATGGAGTATACTGTTGTTGTCAATGAAGTTTATAGTTGTAGTCATTGAAGTAATTAGTTGTCATTCATGAAATAAATGATTTTTATCAATAGAGTATGTGGTTGTTATCAATAGAAAAAGCAATTGTTGTCAATAAAAAAATTTATAGATATTTAAAATTATAGATTTTTAAGCAGAATTGAGAATTTTGTCATCAACACACCAACATCTTGACAGGAACAACCATCAATGCACAACTACACTTTTGTAACAACCAAGAAATATACTAGATTATTTATAAGTCCCTAAAGATTAAAACTAAAGCAAAAATGAAAACTTTAGCAGTAATTTCAGAAACTGTTCATATAACCTTGGTCATTATAAAACTAATCATTATCTCCTTTCTTCTTTCTGTTTACAAATAATTATACCAATATCCTTAAGCAAGTTAAGAGTATAGCTTATTTGGGATATAGAAATTTGTTTGCTAGGCTAGACTATTGTAGAG